AGTATGTTCAGTTCACGTTCGCCCAAAATATGAACGAGTTCATGAACTTTCGTTCAATGAATGCGTTCAGGCACAACACTGCCGACTGTGATTTAGTAAGTGCGACAGAAAGCTGGTGGGCGAGTGTAAACAAACAGCCTGTTGGTAAAACGGCGAATCCATCCTTCTTTAAAATGAATGAGCATCGAGCTTCTTCCTGCTCACGTTTCTATGAAAACCCCAAGTCTAATCCTTCCAAAACTGAGTGCAAAACTGAGTCAAAAATCGCCATCATAGCCAGCCGTCCTTCACACACGACTATGCTGAGAAAGGGCCGCTGTAGACCGGCTGCCGTTAGCCCTGGCATCCATTAGCCTCAGAGGTCCGCTGGTTGTCATGGTCCTCTCAACTTCGTCAATTGTTTTTTTTTTATGCGCATTAAATCAGTAAATGGACCATATAGTGACACTTTAAAGTATAATATACTCACCTCAAATGATCTAAAAAAAAAAGAGAACTTTTAACTTTCAATGGAGTGCTTCATTTAAAGATGCCGCAGTGCATGCTACTGTTGTGCTTTCTCCAGCATCACGCAGCTTTGTCGTCACGCCTTCAAAACCCCACCCGCTTTGCCTCCAGACATTTAAAACACATCTCTGCATTTGTTTAAGGCCTGGAGCATTGATCGAGGCTCGGCCAACTCGCAGGCAAAAATGATTTTGGTCGCTGGCGGGTGGGGCTAGTTTTCTAAGCTAGAATTCAGCAGCTGCATCCTCCGAAGGCCAGATTCATCAGCCAATTATGTCATAGCGCGGCGCCGAGGTCTGTTCGGATTGGAAGACTCCTTCGTTGGCCGACAAATGCATCCTTCCTTTTGCCCGTTTTGAAGGACGGGTCCGGAGTATTCTTCGTAGCCTTGGGTATCCGTGATTCATTGCGAGACCAAGCAAGCCGGCTGGTTAGAGGAAAAAGGGAAATGGAACCAAACACTGGTGAATATTTTAAGTGCAGTTTAATATTATACAAGTATCTGAATAGTTCTGTCTGAAATGAATGAAAATAGTTGTTTTAAATGTTTACTGAGACAAATATGTGGCGGATAATGTTTGGTTTATTGAAAGGTTTTATCTTTCCTTGAGCAAATGGGTATAGCTGACATTTAAGCTCAGATTCCAATATCTCTACAGTGTAGGAACTACACCTCTGATGTCTGCGATGACGGTACTGCTGCTGAAGCTCCTCTAAAATGTTATTAGCACCCAGAACAGTAATGAGACGTTCGGTATGCATTTCTTGCCTGCTTTGTGTCAATTGTCACAGTTGCTATGGACGGAGCTTATTTGGATATCTGTGCTACATTTAAAGCATCTAGTGCTGATTGTTAAGAGAGTTTTAGTTTAAAGGAAAATTCCGGTTTTGAACACTTTTAGCCCATTTTCTGTAGTGTCCAGGATGAAATCGAATGATCGACACCAAAATTTTGACAATTGGTCCTGTCTCTGCTATTTGGCTCAT